AAATGCATAGTAATTGAAGTCCAAATATTATATATAATTGATATTTTTTAATATTTTATCATGCATATTATTATAGTAATTTATTATTTCATTTTTATAGTTTAATAACAAGATACTTGATAATATTCATTGAATATATTTAATATAATAGCAAAAAAAGAATTATCTACAATTGCAAAAAGAATCTAACAACAAACAATAAAATTTGATATTGTTTGTCTGTTTTTAATATGGCTTGCTTTTATATTTATCTGTAATATTTTGTGAATTATTGATTTTATCATTGTGTATTTTATGCAAATATTTGATAAGTATATCTGCAGTATTTGAAGATTGTAATAAGCTTTGCAAATTGAACAAACAAAGCTTATAACTTCATTTTTATTATTAAATTTCTTGAAAAGAATTACCAAATCTAAGAAGTATTATGTGAAGTTATTGATGCTGAATCATCAGTTTTATTTTTTGCTTATTAATTTTGTAGTATATTTTTTTAATGTTTCTTCTATAGCACTTTTAAATTGATTCGCAGTAGATTCATTATCTAATAAAATGTATTTATTTAAAATAGATATTTTATATTTATGAGATATTTTAATAAAGTTATATAAAAAAATTTGCATAATTTTTTAAATTAATTAAAATATATCTTGATATTGCACATAATTAACTAACTAAATTTCTTGCATAATACTTACTAACAAATTATATAATTTGTCAATATAGATTTTCAGACTGAGGAAAAAATAATTATAAATTAATTTATCTATATTTGCTTGGTCTTATAGTTGTTGTCTTTTTCTCTTTTATTATAAAAAACTAACACTAACAATATTCAAATACTATATTTTCGAATTTGTTTTTACTACCTTGAAAAATCAGTGATTTTGTATCAGGAATTTTCTAAATCATCAGAATTATTAATTTATTTAACTTAACAAAAAATAAATTCATTTTTTTGCTGGACTTTTAATCATGAAACTATTTTATTGGCTATTTTTAAAATAGATCATTATTCTAACTCCAGATTACTCTATGTGGCATGGAGTGAGTTGGATTTATATAAATATGATTTCAGAGCGGAGAAAAATTAAAAATTACATAGTATGCTGCTCTATTTAACAAATCTAGATATCATTAATTGTGATTCTACTTCCCCATCACTTTGTCTTTACCTATTCTCCTTTTTTTATCTAATTAAATGTCAGATACTATTTATATTTATTATGTCTTTGAAACTTCTCATGTTTTTAAAAAAAAGTATAGAACAAATATAATTAATTAGCAAAATTAAATTTATTACTAAAACCAATGTTTTCAAATAATAATGCTAAAACCACAAAATAATATAAGATTTATTGACCTTTTTAATGATCTTAAATTTTGATAATTATCTTCTAAAATATTATTAAAGCTGAAAAACAAATAACCAAATACGTATAATCTAGTACTTAAAGAGAAAATCATATGTGATATTTTCTAAAAGTATAAAGTTGAGTACGTATAAGATTCTGAGTCTCATTTTATTGTTCTAAAACTTAAATTAAATTTGGTGTTAAGATAAGGAATAAATTATGAGATTTTCTTAGATATTTTCTTTGCTTTTATGACTGGATCTATTTTATATAGTGATATATGATAATTAAAATTGAGAAAATGCAATGCTGACAATATGAAAAAAGTAACTCTTAATTTTTGTTTCAAAATAATTAGAAATTACTGCATAAATTTTCATTTTATATTTCTTCTTAGTTCTTTGTTGCAATTTTCTTTTTTAATAAATTATTTAATATAATTAAAGTAAAAGATATTCTGCCAGAATATAGTTTTTGAGATTTCATTTACTCAATTATTCAGATTGAGTTGAGTTAATTCTAGTGCTAATGTAATCATTCCTGAATTGATTTGATTTATTATTTGTAAATTTGGAAGTTAACTTATCATATGTATTAACAAATAGTATTAAATAAACTTATTATAACTTAAAGAGTGATTCTTTTGATTTTCTGACTTTTATTCATTGTGCTATTAACAAAAACATTATTCTGAGGACTTTTTCGTGCACTGTATATTAAAAAACATGAATAAAAGCGCGTAGACAAACGATTTATGATAATGGACTGGACAACAATATTTAAAGCGATCTAAGATTATATATGGGCATGATCATCATAAATTTTAAGAACAAAAGATTCGTGACTATTAATTATTAAACTTGAGAATAATTTGACTTATAAATTAATGTTTTGCGTTAAAGTCCTAGTCCTAGTTTAATTAAAGATCTATTAATTCTTTGTAAAAAAAAATACCGAAATTATTGGTAAAAAGCATTATAGAAAATCCAAAATAAAAAGGTTAATTTCTATCATTGGATAACAAGAAGAGCAATTCTTATATAAATATTAATTGTCGACGCATCTTGAGTATGGTTTATATTGATATATCAAATTCTAAATATTGAAAAAGATTTTATTGGTAAAACTTGAATTTTCAATATCGATATGTTGCGTTTATTTTGCATAAATTTTTTTTTTCAAAATTGAGATCTACATTGTACACCGTTTTCTATAGGTACGTACATACGTAGTATTATTGTCGTTTCGGAATTCACGTTAATTCCGAATTGACGTGCGTCGTTTTGGAATTCACATCAATTCCGACTTGACATACATTGTTTCAGAATTCCAAAATGATGTAGCTGTATATTGGTTCAGAAATTTAAATTATTGTTAATGGGTTTAGTGTCAGTGTTTGTCCCAGTAATATTTAACACGTAACAAATACGTTTTAAGTAAAGTGTGTTAGCATTGGGTCGTTATTTATGAGCCCGAAATAGATATTCCGGGTAGCACGAGCTGTCAACCTCGGCATTCAAATATGACACGCGAAAAAAAAAAACGAATCTAGCTTGGGGCATTAATTAATAATATCGGGAAGGGTGATCTTACATATAATCTTAATTTCATCTGACCCTAACCTACGGATTCAGTAATACAAAGCGCGTGATAATACGTGTCAAGGGCTAGTAAGCTAAGGTAAGGGTAAGGGCAGACGAAACAAAGATTATATGTAAAATCGCCCTCCCGACATTTTTAATTAGTGTCCAAGCTAGATTTTTCCGCGTTTCTGATTTTAATGCCGTGTTAATGGCTTGTGCTACCCAAAATATCCATTTCACTTTTACATATTCGGAATTCCAAAATGACGTACGTCCATTTGAAATTCGAAACAACGTACGTCATTTTGGAATTCCAAAGCACGTAAGAAATTTTGTTGGTCTCGGAAAATTCTAATATAATATTAATCAACATTAGAAGGTTGGTTTTAGGATTGGGGTTAGGGCTGAGCTACGCAATATATATAAATGCCTCCCCGACGTTTTTAATTAGTACTTCAAGCTAGATTTAAATACCTGTTTCTCGTATTTTTCGCATTTCTTGTATTTTCTTTTTTTGCGTCGAATTTGTTTTGTTGGTCTGATCAAAAATTTCTTGCATTCTTATTGGATGCTGATTAAAAACTGCGCATTCTTATTGGTTACTGGTTTATGATCGATAAAACTTCTGATATGAAATGTGCAGGTTGGTGGCGTGTCATATTACCCAAAGGTTGTTTATAGAGTTAGGGTTAGGGGTTAGAGGAAGAGTAAGATTATATGTAAAATTCCCCCCCCCGACATTTTTTATTAGCATTAGTGTTCTGTTCCAATTAGATTTGAACATTTATTTCCCGTATTTTTCGCTTTTCATTTCCTTTTGTGTCAGATTTGTTTTGCCGGACTGATAAAAAATTTGTGCATTTTTATTGATTTATACTACCCGGCATTTTATTAACATGGCACACACTTCAGAAGTACAACTCAAATTCGTAAACATTATCACGAATATAATATATCTCAGGGAAGGATTATTATAACGATAATAAATAGTTCCTTATTTATTTGGGATAATACATGTAATTTGATGACCAGAAATCATGTACAGCAGCGATCATAAGTATGGTGCATACCATCTAAAGTCATCAAACGTTTGTATTTCATAAAACGGATAAACTTCTTTACTAAGAAGTGAATACAAAGTTTAATCCGTAAATATGATAGAATAGACCCTTTCTGAGCATATTTACGGATTAAATTTTGTATTTACTTCTTAATAAAGAAGTTTATCCGTTTTATAAAATACAAACGTTTGAGGACTTTAGATGGTATGCACCATACATGTATCTAACACCTGGCATTGCATTGCCTAAAATTATACAACGTATAACAATCACCCAAATTTTCTGGGTGTAAAATGTAATACAACACCTGATTGCTTGTACATTTATGAATTGGTAAAGCTTCCATATCAGATATTGTATGTTCATGTTCCAAATACAATCAAGAATCTAATTCTTGACATCCAGTAATCGAATTTGAACAAAAATACTACTATTGATTAGGGATGTTAAAAGTCCGGTCCAGTTCAGTCCGATTCTGGAACCGCAAATTCTGTGAGCTGGACTAACTGAACTGCAGTCCCAAATCAGTCCCAGACCTGGTTCAAGGACTGAGTTCAGAACTGCGGTCTCAGACTGGATCCTCAGACTGCAGTCCTGTATTAAGAGATGCGCATGCGTTTGCTGTGGGTAGAGATATGAATCAATTTTCTAGAATCGATTGATTTGGTAGAATCGATTAATATTTGAGAATTGATTGAAATTTAAGAATCAATTAAAAAGTAGTAATCGATTAAAATTTGAAAATCGATTTTAAAGATAAAATCGATTAATAATGATAACTATAATGCATAAATCGTGTATGTGAATATATGCAATTGGAAACTCATTTTTTTCACTTGTGAAAAACATGCAAATAATATAGCACATGACAAACTACATACGTACTCTGTCATTCAAAAAAATGTTAATATTGATAATAATCAAGAAACCATTACCAATATAAAGTTTAATAACTCTGATAGTGATACTAACGCCAAAAGTAACTGGTATTGATCGGAATCTCAATCTGATGACAATACTTCAATTGCTTCCATACCACATAGTATCTCTATGAATTCAACTAATTAAAGTACAACTATTCCAACGAAAAGGGAAAATAAATCAAATTTAGTGTTTATTTTACATTTTTTGACATGAACCCGGTCCACGAACTGGTCTCTTGAACTGGTCCTTTGAACAGAGTTCATAAACTGGATCCTAATTAATCTCAGAGATAAAAAGACTGCTAAAGGACTGAGTTCTTGGTTTCTTGGGATGAACGGGTTAAAGTCTGATCCCGGACCTGGTTCATGTGAACTACTTAACATCCCTACTATCGATTTGGCTTGGCTAGTTGAATCGAATGGTAGTATTTTGTTCAAATCAGACCATTGGATGTTGAAATATTGTGTCTTATTCATTTTTTTGACATTGATCAGTTAATTTATGATGTAATATTGTCACGTTAGAAATAAAAGATTATGAAATAAAGTAAAAGCTTGTGACTGTCAGTTGGGAGTTAGACTGAATGATTTACGAAATAAAGAGTTTCTTTATGGTTCTAGAGGTCTTCTGTGGCAGCTTGTATGCAAACTGACCAAAGTAATACTAAGAATTAAAAAGGTTAATTAACAATAACAACCGAAGGGCTTATTGAGACTGTCTTCAATAAAAATTAAAATTCGAAATAAATTAAAATAAAACATCGGGTCTTATTGAGACTGCCCAAATTCTAAAAATATCAAAATTAATCATTGACGATAATTCACAGGACTTATTGATATGTCCTGTTAAAGGGTCAATAATCAAATAAGTGCACAGTTTAATTAAGTCCAAATGTATGGCTTATTTAGAGTACTGTAAAGTTTGTATGCAAACTTCTGAAGTCAATCAAAGGCAAATAAGAGAAGATGCTTTATTAACTATCTTTATCTTTATCTTTATTTGTTAATTTGATGAGCTTTTTTTGTTTCAGTGAGAAGCTTCTATTTATACAATTTTGTTAATTATAAAAAGCTTTGTTAATTATAACAAGTATATATATAGTAAAGCTAATAAATATTTAACTATTAAAAGAATGACTTTAAACCAGAATTCATATTCGAACTTATAAAATGTCATGACAATCACATTCACAATCACAACTACGACTATAGCCGCATTGTTATATGATAACATATTAGTCTTTATTTCACGAATCAAGAATATTGTGATGAGTCCTACAACACTACAATCACATTCGTTATATGATACCATATTATTATAACGAATTCTACAACAATATCTCAACGTCCAGTAATCAAAAATAATACCATTCGATTCATCATGATTAGATGAATTGAATGGTATTATTTTTGTTCGAATAAGATTACTGAGGTCGAGCTATGATGCATTATTATTAAAATTTTTTGATTTAAAAAGTATTTATATGGTGCCAGAAATCTATAGTCGCCAATCACGTGATAAAAGTAAGAATCTTTGAAACACTACAGAGATAATTTCGAAAAAATAAGCAGATAACTTTGTAATTCGAGATACACCCTATAAAGTTATCAGTTTATTTTTCCAAAATTAGCTCTGTGTAAAGTAGAGTGGTGTTCAAAGATTCTTATTTTTTATCACGTGATTGGCGATTATGATTTCCAGCATCATAATTTTTTATTTAAACTAAATTTTACTTAACAACAATGTTTAAAAAAATATATGTATAGAAAGAGAAAAAGTTATAAATAATATTCGTCTAAAAAATAATAATGAGCATGTGATATTTAACTTTGATAACAGCTGCAACTCGTCGCAGCATACTGGAAATTAAAAGGCACTTTTTACTTTTTCTAATTTAGCGATCTAAATAATTCCATATATGCTCAATGAGTTTAAATCGGGACTTTGGGTAGTCCATTCTAAAACTGGAATACTGTGTGTTTGCATCGACAATAACTATAATGCGAAGTATGACAGGAAGTACCATCCTGCTGAAAAGTTGTATAAGAATGATTATTCATCCAAGGAACCAAACATTTGGAAAGAATATTAATACAACCATCAGAATCGAGATTGTTATCAACTTCTACCGAAGGTCCAACACCATCACATCCAATATATCCCCAAATTTTACTGTTAGAACCATACAAATTTCTAGGTTTTTTTCAAAGGATTTTGCCATACTCATATACATTCAACTGAATAAAAAGGCTCATCTGACCACACAATTTGGTGGCATTCATCATTCCAGTTTTTCTTTTCTTTGTAGCATTGTAAATGCTTTTTTATGCTAAGCAGTTAAAAGAGGTTTATGACTTGCATAGTAAGATTCAAAATAATACTAATTTCATATAATTACGAGTGGTAATAAAATGAATTGAGTTATTAATGTATGCATTTAGTTGATTGGTAATTTTAATGAGCGATGTTTTCGATCTTTAAAATAAGTTTTAAACTTCGTTGATCACGTTCTGATAAAATTTTCGTCCAATACACTTCACAGGATGTAGAGAACCTGTTTTCTTAAATCGATTAATTGTATCACGTACTGTTTGCTTTGGAATAGTGAGGGTAAAGGTAATAGCTGAAGCATTGCTCTCCATGTAATACGCACAAATTATCTATTCACGAAGTTCTGAGAATAATTTTTTTCGTGGTAAAAACGTTATGAATAGAAAGAGGAGTGAATAATGTGTGTTTTATATACAAATAAAAGATCGGAAGAATTGTAATAATTAGAACAAAAGAGGAAGTAAAACATTACTCTATAAAGTTTAATGCATATGCATAGTAATTTCTCATAGGTCAGTGTACTGTTACCATAGTGATATTAAATCCTCTAATTCTGTAAGTTTGACCCATAATTAGTCTCTTGTGTAATGCATATTGAAAGACAAATTTAGAAATATTTTGATATAATGAACATTATCTTTGTGTCATGAACATCCCATCGTTCTTCAATATTAATGCACGTAACGATATTAATTATCAGGAGGACGACAATTATCTGGACAATTGAAAGACATCAAAAGATTATTGCTAAATTACTTTTAGAAAGTTTCAAAAAAACAATTAATTTAGAATACTAACCTTAGAATAATTGTAGTAATTCAAACTGTATAAAGAACCATTCTTGAGCTTCCGAGAAGATTGCTTTGATCGAACAAAATAACAAAGTTCTTACTTGTAGTAAAATATTACTTGTAAATACACTATTATTTTGTGATAAACTTTAAACTTTTGTGAGAAATTGCAAGTAGTGAATGCGCCTTCACTCTAAATAAGCTGTCAATTTCTTTTAATTGTTATTTTGAACAATAAGTCCTGTAGAATTGATTTTGTTTTCTTAGGCAGACTGTATCAATAAGCCCTGTTGAATGGCCTTTTAGTATTGAGTTTTTCTTTGAACAGGCTGTATCAATAAGTACTGTTATATTTGTGATTATATTGATTATTGCTGAATAAACAAGATTTATTATCATATTGATTCAATTTTCGTTACAAGAGTGATTTGATTCTATTCTATTTCTCCCAAATGCCCTTCCTCATAATGAAAGATCGATTTGTGTACAAGTTGCCACGGGAAGCCCAGAGAAACACTTTTATATTAATAATTCAATCTAGCTCATTATCACGTTTGCAAAAACTCCTTAATTCAGATAATTTTAGGATCGATGAAACAATAACTGTTGCGTTCCCTTCGGTATTTAGCTAAGAGTTTTTATTTTGTGATGGATGGGAACACCAGACTGTTGTGTTTATTATAACAATCAATTGATAAAGGGGTTTTCTGCAATGGGGTGAGAGCTAGATCGAATTATTTATAATTAAAGCGTCTCTTTGATCATTTTAAAGACTTCCTGTGTTGACTTGTACACAAATTAACTGAATGTATGAGAAATTTTAAAATAAAAATAAAATAAAGTAAAATAATTTTAAATTAATAACTAAAATTCTAAACTAAATACAATAGGACTTATTGATATGGCATATTCAAACAAGAAAGATAACAAGACTTATTAACGCAGTCTGCAAAGAAAATTAATACAACAAGACTTATTAATGTAGCTTGTAAAGGTAAAAATCAAGATAACAAATCAAATTAAAGATAAATAACAATGTATTTTAAGTAAAGGAGCACTTATTAATGCAGCTTGTAAAGGTAAAAATCAAGATAGCAAATTAAATTAAAGATAAATAACAATATATTTTAAGTGAAGGAGCATCCACTGAAGTTTAATCAAAATAATAGTGTATTGTTACAGTAGTAACACAAAAATTGTTAATTTCAAAAATAGTTAAAAAAATACAAAACATTCAAAATATATTCGTATAATAGCAAAATTTCTCAAATTATTTTATATTTCACTTATTAATTCACTTTTTATTTCATTTTTTATTTATTATTTCACTTTTTATTTTATTTTTTGATTATTAATTTACTTTTATTTATTATTTACTTTTGAATAGTTATTTTATCAATTAGATAATTATTATACTTGAAATTATATTTTTGAAAAATATATAAATATAGATGCTATTTGAGCCTTAACTCAATATGTTGCAAATAAAAAATAAAATTCTTTCTTAACAAAAACCTTTTTTCAAATAATACTTATTCCTTCTACTTTTAATCATACATATTAAAGCTTGTGTACAAGTAACTTTAAATTATATTATACCAAACAAAATACTATTATTAAATTTATGAACTTTATATTATATTGTAATAAACAAAATATTATTATTAAATTTATCAATTTTGATTAAGTATTTTAATTTTGTTATTTTAAATATTTGTTATTTTTGATTAATATTTTGGTATTCCTTATTTGTGAGAAGAACAAAGTGCAAGAATCTTTGTTATTGTTGTTATTAATTATATTATTTCAGTACTAGAAAGCTTTATATAAGTATAGAAAATTAGTATTTCAAATTATTTTTATCAATTACTCACTTATTATTTTATATTTCTTTCTTTACTCTTCAATTTTTACTCTCTTACTACTTTTCTATATTATTATTATATCTTTAATTATTAAAATTTCAGTAAAAATTGGTATAAAACTAAGATATTTCCTTTTTTCAATATTTTATTTATTATTTAATTCTCTTTTCCAATTCAATTTCATGTTTGTAAGCTAATTTAACAATTAGTAAATAATCTTGTAATAATATTCACAAGTAATACTAATATTACAAGTAAAAACTTTTGTTATTTTATTTTATTAGATTAAAATATACTTTTTCAAAGACTTGAAAGCATCTTTAAATATATAATTGAATTATTATACTAATTTTAAGATTAATATTTTATATTATTTTTTGAAACTTTCTAAAAGTAATTAAGCAATAATCATTTAATGTCTTTCAGTTATCTAGATAATTACTATCATTACATATATTTACATTGAAGAATAAAGAGAAAAATCAAAATGAGTTTCAATTAAAATTGGATATAAAACTAGCTAAAAAAAGAATTTTATTGTGATCAATAAATAAAACTTTCAGAATTAGAAAATTCCATTGTGAAATAACTATAAGAATATTTTTATATAGAAACTAAGAATACAAATTATAAAATTAGAAGATTTAATATTAATTTTGTAAAAGCACTTTGTATAGAATAGTTTAGCTAGAAAAAGCAAATCTTATTGTTGAAAATCGATAATTAAAATATCTATTAATAAAAGAATAGATAAAACCCAAATTTCCTTACCTATATAATTTTATTCGACTCTCTCTCTTTCTCTTTCCCTTTCTCCCTCTATTTTCACTCTCTCTTCTCCCCCTCCTCATTATTAGTATAACGATATCCGTAGATATCGGTACAGGAGTTAGACATCAATAGTCACCTACTTTAATTACCTATCGACCCATTGTTGTAGGTAAAATCGTTGATTACGTCTAATTACGATCTACCCTCAACAGTATTAAATTTAACGCCCAGAAAATTTGGGTGATCGTTATAGTATATTTTGACAATGAAGGGTGGTCGGATACTTATGATCGCTACTGTAAAAGCCAATTCAATAAAAATTCCACAACTCCAAATAAACATACGTACACAATTTCAAAAAAAAAGATGTCACTAAAAGGAATCCTTTTATTCTTTAATTGCTTTCCCGAAACCCAAAAGCGATAATTTGCCTAAACAAATACCGTCGACGACTACCGGGCTGGGGTTTTGACGTGGCTTTTTACTCTAAAGGGTAATTATCTGTGCATATATTGACGAGCCTATAACTGAATTCGATATAATAGGCATCTTTCATTTATATAACCTTTTCGCTGACACTTCAAATATTGAGTTGTGTGCTCGCATTCAAATGAACAAACATATTATAAAATAATTCGAGAAGAACCATTTCAGTCCTTTACAACTGAGTCAAAACACTAATTATATTTCATTCACGTCGTTTGCCACCATTGCTCTCTTACTTTTTGATATCGAGAAATATGGGCGGCTTTTGGAATATTTCAAACATTTTGGAGCTTACGATTTTATTGGTCTTACGTGATGGTGGTAAAGTCGAAAATGCTGCTCTTTTTGGGACGGTCAGTGGTCTTTATTTATTAATTGTACATATCCTCATGATTTTCTTTAAAGGTATTGGATGTCTTTAAATTTCAAGGTAATTGCAATATCATTCAATTCAATTATAGTAATTCCAAATAAATGCTAAATAATACTTCAATCGATATGTCTTATTTTCGATTTCGCACTCGTTATAGTTTTCTTTCGCATCTTTATCAATGCAAGCAAACATGCCCCTAACCAAATTGCGGATACCCAAGAAGCGCTACATCTCGAAGAAAATCCACAAAATGAAAGTCTCGGAGCAGAAGATGACGATAATCCAGAAACATTCATTGAAAATCTTTCAACTCAATGGCTGCTTTTCTTTGGTTCATGTTTTAGGGAATATCAGTAATATATAATTTTTTTAAGATGCGCACGAATGAATCAAGATCTCATTCAAAAACGCGTCTATATACTCCGATACGGCTATATCCATAGCTGCAGCAATTGCTACAATATCAATTTCTTTCTCATTATTAACGACTAGAACTTTATTTATATCTAGTATTGTGTTCATTTATAAATATAGCTAGATATTAGCCAACTTTTGTATTTATTATACATAATATAAAATACTCATGTAAATTCAACAATTTGATTCGCCGCAAGGCCTAAATGATATTTGGTTTAATCAACGTGCCTTCATTATACCAGATAAGAACGTTTTTAAACTTCTTTCTTCTGATTACCAAATGATTTATTGCTATTTCATCTATGATGACTTTATCCTTATGCTTTATGTATTTATCCTTCGTCAATTTGTCACTTATTTACTTCGAATCATGAAATATTTTGAAGACACGTTCTTTTATTATATTCACTTTTTTAATACTAAAGCTAAATGACTCTTTTTTCACTTGAAATTTTGTAGATATCCCTGTAATTCGAATTAGTGTCCATTTTACTGTACATGCAGAATTCGTTTATGTCAATAGCGATAGTGTTACAGCGATTCTGGATAGTGGGTTTCACTGAGAATCACTATAAGCATATGATGTTGGAAGAGGGGTGATTAAACTTAAGTAAA